ATTTCAGAAAGAACGTGTTTATGTAGCATTTGAAGACGCTGAGGGAGAGGGAATACACAGAAAAGGACGTATTTGAATTTTCTGAGTCTGGGTGCAGATCTGAGATTCATCAAAGTAAATAAAAAATGTGATGTGAAAATGGGATTTTTCACTGCTCTTTTAAAAACTATTGTCCTTTTTTTATAACACACTTCAACATCTTAACTATCTATAATACACAATAACAAGAAAGTTAAAGTTAAGGGATACTAAGGCAGTCATAACCTAGAGTTGGATGCTGAGATTCCTTTAAACAAACGGCACAGTAAGAGCAAATACGAGACGATTTTAGTGATAGATCCGGAAATGTCATGTCATAATTAGCATTATTACAGGACAGTTTGCAACGGGTATTTTAAAGTTACCTGAACAATTTAAGTTTAGTTTCTTACACATCCTACATCCTACGTGCCTCCAGCATTTGAGCCAGGTTTCCACAGAAGTCTCTATTTTATTCCATCTGCAGTGCATCAGATTTGTATTCTGATACTTGACCTCCAGGGAATCTCAGCTTCTGAATGGGATCTTTTCACCCTCCCCGTTTCGAAACAGAATTACACTTCCACTCTTCACCCCGGCCCACACACAAGGAGAGAACCTGTGTTCTTGAGAACTGAGAGTTAGAAATGATCCGTCATTTACTGTCTCCAAAGAATTGTAAAAGAAATGTGTTAGGTTATGTATTTAGATTTTTACAGTTAATAATGGCACAGCTGAATGGCCACTGTCCTTTTTTGGTGTCTCTGACATTTGTTTACAGGTGTTCTGGGGGTATCTTGAAGCTTCCTGCCTGTGCTTCCTCTACTCCCCGCCAGAGCAGAACTGCTAATCCCTCCTGCATGGCTCCTTCTGTACCATCTCTTGAAGTAATGTCAGTGTCTTTTCAGAGATTTCCAAACATCCCACTTTATCTGCACAATGGCATAGGTGTTTGTGGAGAGAAATTATCTTGAATAATAGCACTGTGGGATCCATCCAGTAATGGATAACTGAAGTACCTCTTTGTGGTCCGATACTGGCATCCACACATTTAGCCTGCTGATAAGTTTTTAACATCTCTTTAGGCCTTGTTTCTTCCCCAGTGAAGGAATGAAGGTGCCATTTATCAGCCCCTTCTGTTCTGTGCTCCTATCTCTCCAGTGCTGTCGCCAGTTGTGTTTTAAGACTGTGCACTGCACTTTCCAGGGCTATTCTGTAATCAAGTGCTGAGTCCTTGGAGACCACATATAGATGAAATGTTGAAATTCTCCAGACTCTTGTGAACAGTATATTTGTCTTCATGACACTTTGATGTGTCACAAAACTGTTTTTTCTCACGACACTCCTCAGCTGCTTACATAGAGTGGACACTAACAGCCTTTTAGGGACTAAAACTGAACCAAAAAGTAAACCAATACTGTTCAAGGCTCCTGAAGTGAAACCAAAAATTTGTGTTAAGATACAGTATATTTTGTTTTGCCTCTTGACTTGGATTTTTAACTCTGAACCAATTTAAGAAGGCAGTACTGGGGGTATGTCAGTCTCAGCAATCCTGCCTCCCTGATTTTCACTAGGTCTTCAATATGTTCTGAATTGAAGGAATAAGTGAAAAATACTGAAAAATACTGAATGCCGTTGAAATGAAAGCATTAAATCATTAATAAATTTCTATAACAGAAATAAGTCTGAGTGTCTATGTGTATAGGCCAACTGAGAAGAGTCTAAATTAAGAAAGCCTCCAACACTGCTTAAAACAGCCCCAGCCTGTGAAAAATGCTTAAGCACCTTTGTTTAAAGTCAGGGTTCGAGGCGCAATCTCAAACATTTAAAAAGCGTAAAAGAGTTCACTAATATTGGCCCTGACGCTGTGTGACATGAATCTGTCTTAGGTAGAGCACAGAAATAACACAGATAGCCCCAAGATTCATCACTAGACCTCTAAACCTAAATCTGCACGTCAAGTTTGAGTTAAATAGTTGTTTATGAGGAAAAATATCAACATCAAACAGAATATAATGTTTGGTAGAACCTTATTTCACCTGGAATAACAAAACCCAAGAATTAAGTGTTTTGAGAGGTTTGCATGTTTAGGCTGAACCCGCCTGAATGAGGGCCGACCTCTTGGCCAGAGGATGAGGAGGCCGGTACCCCCAGCAAAGAGAGGAGTGACCAAGGGGCAGCTGCAGAGGGATGCAGGAGACGTGTGTGAGGGAGAGAAGGGGATCACATGCGGTATGTAAACTGTAGGTGAGAAAATGACATCAGAAGTGATTACAAATTACGGACCGATGAGACCGATTGAACTTGGCTATCGTCATTCCTCCTGAACTTTCATTATAAACTTACATCCCTCCTCACAGTCACGGGCATCTTCTGCCACAAAGCAAATGCAAAGAGGAGGGAGGCAATATCTTACAGACATGACTGTCTGCCCTCATTTCTACGTAATGAACGGAGACGAAGTACGATGAGATTCTCAAGCACCTCCAACAATATCCAGCTTGTCATTGGCAGCTAGGATGCAAAAATTACTGAAAAAGGAACTAATCAACAAAACCTTAAATAGCAAAGATACAACAAAGTATTCAAACGTTTACATGCTAATTGAAATTGCAGAGTTGCTATGGAAACAGTAACCAGGATAAAGCTAAAGTGATACTGGTAGCAGGCCCATGAGAGTCAACCATTCTCTTTTACTATGTGTTCTTGTCAGACAACCACACTGGCGATTTTGAAACATTCCTCTAAAATGGTTTTATGGTAAATGTTATTATGGTACCCATCTTTCTTAACTTCAAGCATTAATTTCTATGCCGTAGGAAACGGATCATTAGCTGATCGCAATTAGATATCTTTGCTCTTCATTAATTAATGTAATTACCATGAGGGTTAAAAATATTAAAACACAGAAACAGAGCACATTACATTGACGCGTCTTAGCAGGATACAGAAAGGGGCTGCAGTCAAAGCAGCTTCTCGGTTTGTTACACCACCATCTTCTTTGGTTCTGTCAAAGTGGCAAATAGCCACCCTGTTCAGTTATCATTATCACTGGGACACCTGAGCTGATGAGATCGTTATCAAAATGTTCACTGCACTGCACGCATGAATAACATACTGACATTTTTAACATGAAAGAAATGTCTCAGACCATACCAAAGGTAAGGTAAACTTTCTTTCTCTGAAGCTTTTAGTACCTTCTGAGATATGAACTATACTGTTAAGTATAAAAATTAAGAAAATACATTTTGTTAAATTTTTCAGTTGTTATCAGACTGGCAAAATGTCCCTTAAAACTCACAAGCTGACTAAGAACTATCGATTTCCAATCAGAGGATTACAACCTTTTATAAATTGAACTTTATCCATGAGGCTAAAATTATACTTCTCCAGATGGCTTTCTGAGCTACATGTAGAGCCTTTTCCACACATTCAGAGAAGCTGAAGAAGTACACTTTTCTGTTTTAACTTTGAACTTTATGAACAGTTTTGGTCACAGATTCTCATAATCAGCTCAGAGAAGAGGAACCAGGTTCCTCCTGGGGCTTAAAAGAAAAGTCCAACACTGAGAGGTTGAAGAAAAGAATCTGCTTGGTCTTGAACAGAGAAGACTACAAGAGTTAATGATACCAGAATTCAAAATGCTCAAAAGCCAAAGTTAACCTGGCAGGTTTCTTCAGAATGAACAGTGAAACACAAACAGGAGAAAGCATTTTACATGAAGTGTTGAAGAAAAGTCAACAATGAGAGAAGAGGTATTCATCAGTGTGTGTTGCATAAAACTTTGTTCAGGGTGGGGAAGATAGGCTGCCAAATTAAAATGCACAAACATACACATTTGAATAAGTAGCAGCTAGTCCTATGAGAGCAGTGCTATAGATAGTGCCAGAGGAACAAAAGGAGTTCAGTGTTTCATTACCCTATTGCATTTTCTTTTAGCCAATGATTGCTTTTCCAATTTGTAAAGCTAACTAACTGTTAGTCTTGCTTGTATTGTGTGAAATATTGTCTGTTTGGACTATTTCTTTAATGGATGCCATTCAGCGTAACGCCAATTCTCCAGTGCAGGGATTGTGACTAACAACACAACGGTGATTTGAAATGAGCCATGAAAATGCAGACTACACATTATGAGAGCTGCTCTAAGGGGTCTCTGTAAAGTCAGTTTTAATAGTTTTTCTTTCTTAAGACATGAGTAGTTGAAGAGACAATGAATGAATGTGGAATTGTATAATCAATCATGTAGATGATGCACTATATAGACAGGAAAGATATAGAGCCAATAAAATATCTTACTAAGTCTGACATATCTTTTTATATTAAAGTTTATTGCCTTTCTGTCTATTTCTTCAGCTTCACAGAAAGTCCAGTGATGGCCTTCCGAAAAAAACAATGTACTCTTTTTCAAGGCTTTCTAAAATATCCTAGTGTTTTTTTTATTATTTTAAATACTTATTTTTCATAGGCTCAGACGTGCAAAAAGCCACCAATCCTACATTCTGAAAAAGACTATGTACAGGTTATTATACCGAACATGAATAACCCTACAGAGATGTCTGTAGTTTTTTTTGTATGTACAGAAGATTCATTATATAAGAAAACACTCTTAGAAAATGTTTAAAAAACATGAACAGTAAGAACAATAAGTAAAAATAATCTTTTTTACACTGTTCACATACAAAAAATACTATGTTTGAAAGCACATGGAAGCAAAATCACTGCCTAATAGATCCAAAAGCATCGGCAGAAAAACATGAGTGAATATGTTTGTAACATACAGGTACAGTTCATTACACTTGAGCACTGCACCAGGAAACAACATGGAAACGTCTAGAAATGCAGCTCTCTTCTATAGAACAGTAAAGTCGAGCCTGGAAAATTGGTTCATAGGAACCCCAGAGGCACAGCTGTGACTGTCAGGCTTCTCGAGCAGCAGCACAGCGCCTCGCTGCGGAGGAGCGTCTGGCGACGGCGTCACTGACCTCAGGCAGCCGGTGGCGTTGCGCAGCACCTGTGAGGAGTGGAGCTGCAGCTTGCGGTCCTCCTGGTGGGGGGAGCTATCCAGGCCGGAGTGGGGGATGATCACCGCGTTGGTCAGCACGGCCAGCGCGTCCTGGATGATCGGCATCTTCAGCGCGTCGCAGGAGGACAGGTTCCACAGCACACCTGTAAGAGAACACAGACTGAGCTCATGAGGACAGGTTCCACAGCACACCTGCAAGAGAACACAGAC